CCCTAACCCTAACCCTAACCCTAACCCTAACCCTAACCCCTAACCCTAACCCTAACCCTAACACCTACGCTATTTTAATTTATTCTTTCAACGTCTTTTTGACCTATTTTTCTTTTTGCTACAATTTTCAAGGTACTTAATTTCGTAATTGCAAATTTTGTCCCCTTACTTTTCTAAACTTGTTGATTTTTCTTTGACAATTGAATATTAAGCGTCTTAACCTCAGATTGGGCTGTGATTACTGCTGAACCCAGCATTTCATTCGTTATTTCGTTTAGCAACACCCATATTTTTGGCACATTGGTGTAGAATTTCAAAATTTGGAGCCGTGATTACGCCATTCCCTCTACAACAAACTGTGTAAATATAAGCTCCACGAGAATTTGACATTGTAATTACTGCCGCAGTGCCATAGGACATACGCCATTACGCCTAGTCATCCAATCTGCGGCACATTGTGGAGACAAGACCAAACTTTGCATTCCTGAGTACGTGCAGGAACCCCAAACAGCAGTGAACATATGGTACGTTGACACCGCGGCTCTACGGTGACTGCTCCATCTCAATATGATTTGCGATCGTGATTGCGGCAATACCGAATTCCGCCACTCATTTCGATCAAGCGTGCTTGATCTGCCCACCTACATCCTCAAATTCCCAGGTATGTTAACGACACTCATAATGCTTTCGTACCAATACCTTCTCTGCACCAATTTTTACTTTTTGAACTTAATATTTCCGAAGCAATGATATGAACCTCCTACTTTCTCCCACAGATTTAGGTCAAACGTGGAAATTGGCGCTTTTAGGACATGTGCCTAGGCGTACAGCAGAGCAAGCATCAATCCCACCAAATTTTATCACCAGTACGACTAAACGAAACTATCAAAGAAACCTTGTAAACGTCAAATAACCTTTAAGAGGGCGACTGAAATTCGATGCGACTTTTCCCATTATTATCAACGGATATCACCACCTTAAATCGAAGCGCTACATTGAATAGAAAACCTATTTTAAAAATGCAGTTGCCATTCTGTACTACAGACACAGAAGTACAAAAAAAGCCCAATGGAGCAGATCCAGATCGCTCAGTACGGTGGTGGCGGAGGAGGAGGTCGTGCTCCCGGTGGTGGGGGTGGAGGAGGCGTCATTCCAGGTGCGGGCGCTCCACGACCAAAGGCGTGCGGGGGTGGCGGTGGAGCACCTCGTGGCTGCATGAGGCCGGGTGCAGGCACGCCAACACCCCAAGCGGGCCCAGCGAGACCGGTCGGCGGTGCTGTAGCAGGTGGAGGAATGGCAGCACCCGGTGTAGCCAACGGCATGCCGCGACCCACCGCACGTCCCATGCCTGGCGGTGGAATTCCCATCATGCCCATCCCAGCGCCTGGAAGTGGCACCCGAGCAGAGTCCTCCGGTGGAGGCGGACCGTCCACATTCATGCTTACCTAAAAAGGATACAAAAGCACAGCCTGATCTGCACACCCACTCACTCCTTCATATTTCAACGAGGAATCGAATGGCAGCACTACCTCACCCATTTAATATTTGCATAATTTCAATCCAGATCGAAAATGCCTACACTAGGAAGCGCGATCACATGACGGAGACGTACCACAAACGAAACTTTCGGGGCAAATAACGCCGAGAGTAAAATTGACACACTGAAATGTCACCGTCAGATGTAGGTGCCTGTTGCATCAGTCACGGCAATGATAAAATCTAACCCAACATAAACCTAAAAAGACTCAGTGCATTGATTTGATTTTGATGCTTTTGATGGAAAAATGACGTAGCACACAGGGTCTCCCGCAACGGAGACTATAGAAAATGCCTACTTAGATTATTTCGACTCTACTCACATCTTTTCTTCTAATCAAGCATCAAAAAGGGTGACGACAAAAAAGACGCAATCGATTTTCGCACGTCCGAACACGAACTAATGGAACCTCAAAGGAAACATGAGTGACGAAGAGAAGAGCAAAAACGCTGCATTTATCCGGGAGCGAAGAAAGTAAACGTTGATGAATGGTTTAGAACTAGTGCTGAGAGGAAGACTCACTATGTGCTCGCCACGAAGAAGGACTAAACCGAGAGAGCGCTTTTCCTGGCGAGGTTGCTTTGAGTTTTTGCTTTTAACCGTACGAAACTCATCACAATCACACAGGATAAGATTCATATGCCTATCAAAAGCTTTGAACGTTCCGACTAACTGCCGACTATCCTGAAGGGTACAGCGGATACGATAGTTGATATGTTGACTGATTTTCGCATTCTTGCTGACCGGCTAAAGCAGATATTAATGGCATAGAACTGAATTACCATCTTTGGCACACACTGGTAGCGACTTTACTGCAACACAACCTACGCTAAAGCCCTCAACTTCAATGTGTTGATTGGGCTTTTAGTAGCCAATAGACTTGAGAGAATTTTAACCAACATCATTTCTTAACCGTCCAATTTTAATACTTTAAATTCCGTATAATACAATCAGAAGCAGCATCGCGAACAAATCTTGCATGCCAAATTTAAGGACAACCAAAATGACCAATATTTTTATCATGAGGGTATTATTATTGACATTCTCCAAGACACATCAGCTGTCGTGAGAATAACCAGGATTATAGCGAAAATGCACATGATTCACATTAAACAAATGTTTCGATCATAAATTTTAACTGTGCTATAACTGCATTTTTATCCGTTATCAAAAAGTTTTACAAGAATGTATTTGTCACAAGCCGCCTGTGATAGCCTTAGCAGTTTTTTGGCATTGTATAGACCTTTTCCACCGTAAGTACTGCTTAAATTGACTTCGTGAACTCATTAGAGCTATGGTGGTATTAGGTTCGCCTGTTGCACCGAAAAAATTATTCAAAAATTGAGGACTTAAAATTGTTTCTGTGGTAACAGTGTCAAGCGTTGACAATGAAAAATTGTAGAGAATCAATCACTTATTCAGCAAAATATTTTCGAAGCGGGAATGCATGCTTCAAAGTGAATTTAAACTGAGTTAATGTTGCGACTTCCCTTTCTTTCCCTACTGGTTAAGTCTTTTTCAACAGTCTACATGTAGCGTGTAGACTGAACTGATACAAGTATCATAAATTAGCACCCGATATTCCTTTTCTTGCGCTTATAAATTTCCGGGCTAGAAGCGACGATGGAGTGCCACTTTATTATTTGACTAGGAATTTAAGTGTTCTCAGGTTGCCTGCTTCGAGCTATGTGAAACGTCTCGAGGCCCCACTTTGTAGTAGAAGGCGATGAGCATGGCCGGATGCTTGTATTGAGAGAATGGTACAATGTGACTTTACTTTGCCAGAAGCATGGTGAAAATACCAATGCGTCAAGTAGCTGAATAAACAAAGTATTATAGTACAATGCCAATTTTTTGCTCATCAGCAGCCCGTTCTAAAGACACCTTAAGCAAGTGCTCTAGAAAACTCACTTGATTTACGGGTTAAATTTGTATGACAGGCCCACAAGTTCACTAAAACACCATGCCGTCTCTTTTAATGCAGTTATTCCTTCTAATGCGTTAAATGCTTATTTTTAGACCATTTCCAAGGATACTATTAAATGTCGCTGTTCGAGCAGTGTAGCTTCCGCATCAAAATATCGGACCTCAGAAGTCACGGGTCTTTGTGAAAATATTTAGTTCATCCATTATCTGCTTTCCAAAATGTTTTTGTAGCACTCTGAGACTTCCCATCGCGTGGAAGAAGGCATTAAATGGAACTGAATACATGTATTACAAGAAGAACAAAGAGAATAAGCCTGAGCTTGCCCCGAAGAGTAGCTCACGTGTACAAGGGCCATACCATTCCTACAGCAATCACCAGACATCAGGTGTTCACATAAACAGTGTTGCAGTTTTGTGTCTATCCTTGACACTGGACAGTTTCCAACGCCTTCAGCAATTTCTTCTATCTCTTCACCAAAACCCTAGCCAATTGAGCATACAGTTAAAAGAAAATCACACAGAAGGGCCCGATATTTTTACCATTTATGTTTTTCCGGTAGGTAATTGGACGAGTCATACACCTAGAGGTAGCATGTGCGCCGACTGTCAACCGGCAAACGTTTTGATGTGGTGAGGGGTGCGAATGAGGCTCGGTGTTTGGCGTAGTGATGTGGAAAACCACCTCTGCTGGTTCCAGTGAATGCATAAGCGTTGTTGTGTTGCTCAACTATCGCATCTAGGTGATCGGGGTCTGCACCCTCGGCTAATCTCTGCTCTCCAAATGCCATGGTGGACTCTACAACCGGCGGAGAGAGAGGCAAGGAATATGACTGACGCCACCCCTTTCCCCAGCTCCATCGTACCGGTGGCGAATCTGCTTTTGCAGGCGAAAAAGAGGGTTGTGGTGGCTGCCCCTGTGGTCTTCCTGCCATGCCCCAGAACCGTCGGCTAAAATCATGGGTATCCATGCCACACAACGAATGAGGGCCTTTGAGACGCAGAAGGCGGAGAAACCGATGTCTGAACGTAGAGCTGATCACCATGAAGGTAGGGAAGAGCAGTCCTGTTGTCGCCATGTCTGCGAATTCGCGGCAAATTATAATCGCTGTAGCATGATGAAGCATTCTTTGCCAAGTTGGGTCGTCTAGAATCTGAAGAGCATAAGATTACTTCTGGAGTTTGCAGATGTTCATTATTTTACTTGAATGTTCGTACTTGGCTCCTTTCAACATTTCCTTATATCCCAATGAACATACCACCTGAATATTAATCATTCTTTGAGGTTTTAAATGTATGCAACCCCCAACGATGCTAGGAAAGACCTTTTTTAAAAGTCCAAGTTTCTGCTAGAACTCGGCCTCTTGCTTATTTACGGCTGGCTGCGCGGCTCAACTGATACAGTGGCGTGTAATGACACTTTCATGAGCTCTTTCAACTGGCTGGTTGTTGAGCGTATTTGCTTTTAGCGTACTTTCGGTCGCTCTGCATTAATTTCTGTTTCACAGTCTATCATCTGACCACCTAGTTTTAGACACTGGTGGGTTGCAAGCTACTCGTAAGGGTTTTGAAAAAAACTTTGGAAAGCCTGTAGAAGCGCTAAAAGCTAACTTTTCCGCATTACCTAGTAAGGGAATGTAATCGAGCTTAGGAAATGTGGAATTTGTACAGAGATTAAAACGTCGATTCGATTCATTACATGAACTACTTGCAGGTAAGCTTTTCGAAGGGACTCGGTCATGATTGTTTTGCAAGGCATTCTACTGAAAATTCGCTCACGCGGAGTGGATGATACTGACGTTCATTAACACACGATATGAACATAATGTTCGCTTGTCACTCGACACTTGAAAATTTGCAGTCTCAAATTTGTGAAAGGTGACTAAATTAAGTCAATGTTTTGTAAAAAGAGCGTTCATCCAAATATAATGGTATCGAATTGTTAAATTTTTTGCTAAGACATCCAACAGATAACGAGTTGTAGTGTCAAAAAGGAGGTAATTAAAAAATGCATTACAAGCGTTGTTATGCTTATCTGAATATTGACTACGAATTCACAAAAAGATGCAGCCTTCTACAATCTTAGCCTCCCCTCTTAAGTGGCCTGAACCGATAATCGATTTAGCTTAAAATAGTAGGAAAATAATCCTTATAGATCGATGGAGGTGGGTAAGCACAGCACTGGTTGATACTCCAACTAGACCAGATTGTAAGGGACTGAGTCTAGTACCGAGTCACTCGATCGTCTCAGCTTCGTGAATATCACTGCTTCATAGGGACTGCAAAGGCGCGTGACTATCATCCCGTCCTCTTGTCCCATGAGCCGATTAGGCGGGACCAAACTAGGTCGTGACGCTCTCGACCCCGACTAGATATCCTGGATTGAGCGGAAGTGGCGAAGGGTGTGTGATAAGATGCTCAATAGTCCCGACTTTTTAAGGTTAATTATTCAGCTGTCCATTCAAGCTTATTTTTAGTTGCGTTGTCTCCTTCAAAGATGCTGAGAGTGATTGGACAAGGCGCCTTTTATTCACTAAGGCTGCACAATAACCGGTTTTCTGGTTGGATATTTTGTTCAAAGTACGAAATTTTTTGCTGCTACAGAAAGTAAGTCACTAGCCATTTAGCTCTTCACTGGACACACTGAGTTCATTTGCGTTTGGTGAAGAAAAGGTTTGTGGAGTAAACCATGTTGGCAAGTATGCCCCAACGCAGTTAAATTCAAGTAACGTAAGGTTCATTTGAATTACTTAATGATGCCCTGCAAAAAGGTTCACCTAAGCGGGCACGCAAACTAAGCAAAAGTTTACCTCGCGATCTGGCAACTCTGCAACTCCTGGCGTAGTCATGACAGATAGAAGGCGAGTTGCCACCAAGGGTAAGTTGGCTAGACCAAAGAGGAGGCAGAGACCATTGACAAGTTGGAGACGATGTATCACGTGCCGGGTATAGACGAAGGCCATGCGACCACCAACCTCGACATCACTTTGCAGTAACGCTTGGCTTTGGATGGACAGCAGGCGCCGAGACAGCAAAAAGGCAAAGGCTATAGTTCCTAAGGTACTCGGCGCAAAGATTACTGCATTGAGGACCCAATCATAGAGCAGGAGAGTACCATCGGGACTGAGGAACTGGAAACCTGATTGGTAACCTCCTATAGGGCTGCATATTAGATCGACATTGTCAGAAGTTCCTGGCAGAGTAATATCGGTCACATGCCAGAAGTTAATTCCCATTAGACCGGCTACGAATGACACGAGAATGATGGCTGTGGCTTTCTGAAACAAATAAAAAGTGCAGCTATGAATTATGCCAGACAACAATTTCACTTTTCCAATGCGAAGGTAACGAACCGCAAAGAGACCGCAGGGGATTTTACACCACCAAAACCGCAGATATGGACTGCGGCAATGACAGGAGATAGTGCGTAGGCGTGGGGGTCGTGATATGACATGAGCGCGCCAAGCAATGAGGAGCACCAAGAGAGCGATGGTGACGCGTGTCGTGATGGCAAGGCTGTGGACGAGAGGACAGAAAGCTCGGATACCTATGATGCTCGAGAGAAGGCGCAAACGCCAGACTCCATCAAGGTCGAGAAGGAGACAGAACGAACAGTGGATTAAGAGAAGAGGACAGCTGAGGAAACCAAGAAGATAGAGCAGAGTGTCACCACGCTGGCGATCTCGCCATCGCCGCCACAATGGAGGTGGTAGTAGCGGAGGCGCAGTGGAATCGACTGCATAGGTTTTGGAGGTGTCTTGACGAGCATGCCAGGTGAAGAGTACAGCAGCAGTAAGCGTGAGTCCAAGAACAGAAAGGGGCAAGTAGATCGCGGTAGTTGAACGGTCAACTTCCAGGCCGATCGGCGTGAATCGCGATAGAAAGGCCTCAAGATGGGTGTAGCGTTCAAAGACATTCAATGGCGCTGCATTATCCGCAGGAAACACCGTTGGTAGCGATGTAGTGGTGGTCTCGGTGGTCTAATGCAATGAGTTCAAATCAGCTTCATTCAGTGCTTGCATTTGTGATTTTTATTTTCAATGTCATGGATTATGATGTCCCTAGTTTAAAAAATTCGTGCCAATTCGTCTCCTTTCCGTTAGCTCAAATTCGTCTTGGCCTCGTGAGACGTACTAGCAAATAGCAAAAGCAATTTCTCGAAACTTGGAAAATGGCTTACCTCGATTTACAATGATGAATTTGTGCGTGCGGTGCTACTTTTTATTGATGAAAGTTCATGTTTACCTCTTCACTGTATGCCCTTTCAGATTCACAGGATCGTGGGTAATTCGCGGGAGAACGTCTCGCCACAGCACGCCATGACAGAGCCCCTGTCTGAGATCCACTTCGTGAAGTGGCACATGCTTTAATTAAAGCCATACGAGCCGTTGCTTGGAGTTGGTGATCAACTACAAATCTCATGCAATAGTTATTCCCTTCTTTTAATCTACAGTTGAAACTAAAGTTGGGAGCCCTTATTTTTGCCCTTTCTGACCAACTTAGAGCAATCAAAGCCGACCAGATCACCTTGCATTATATCGGTTTGCCGTAACGCACTAAAATTCATTCATTACCAAAACGGAAGAATTTTCGCAACTGCAATCCTTCCAACCTAAAAGGCTCCAACTGAATGGTCACATCAGTCCACTGATTAGTAGCTGGATGGATGGAATGAGATAGGATAAAAGATTGGATGGAAAGGTGAATAGGTGGCGGCCTAAATTCGTTCAACTTTATTTCACATCATAATCTAAGTGCCATTAAGGTTGCCTGCCTTTGCTCAACCGGTTCACATGGAGCTTTGAATATGCCTTGTAAGGAATGGAAACGATGACAACGTACACAGAACATACATTAAAAGTTCAAAGATTGCTTTAAAAAATGGGTGAATATAGCGAAACTTTGTGTGAAACGCATGATATTCAGTAACTTTGAGCATATCATTGATGCTTAGGTAACAAAAAATTGTTGACATGCTCACCGCTACAGGAGTTGGAGGGAGAGTAAGTGAGGCGGTTGTAGGGAGACCTGGAGTAGTAGTGGTGGTGGTAGTAATGAGGTTGCCCAAAATATCGTATTGCTCCTTGACCAACATCCTGTCTGCCGAAGCCTGTCCGTCCGCTCGGCCTCTTGGCGTGAAGCGTTCTGCATACAGATTACCATAGCACGCACACACACGACCATTGCGATTTGCATGTTGTCATGGTTGATTGCTAATTCGCTGTTCGATGTCTGATGGGTGGCGAGTGCGACCGCACATATTATTGATGAGCATCCACCTTTTGATTCATGCATGAAAATTTGCCAACTTGCACTGAACATCATTCAACCCAAAGTTGTGGACTGCTAACTGAAACCACCACCCAGCAATGAACGTTTCATAACCATTTTCCTTTCCTCTACCACACAATCGTTGCACTTAATGAGTGCAAAATGGAAGCCTCTTGAACAGGCAAAGCTGCCCTTATTTACTAGCATTACTTAGACACCAGTTGCCGCAACTATCTCCCGCCGCTCTGGTTAAGGATCAGAACAAAGCATTTCTTTTAAAGACCTTAACAAGCCTGCATCTAGCGGCGACCCATAGGTCACGCTCAACCTCCTCCGTCCCCCTCCTTAATTGACTTATGCCGACAGAATGATACGATCGAGCTCCCAAAGCATTGGACGGCTTGTTAAAATGACCTGTACAGCAGACCGTAAATGCCAGTGGAATACCCTACTACATTGCAAGTGACTGACCCAGCAGCAATACTAAAACGCCACGAAACTATAACCTCCAAATTCAATTTAATACTGATTAGCGTAAGCAGTCAGCCCACCTTCCAAGAATGAACGGAAGATGTTTGTCTGCCAGTCATCACAAGTCGAGCATTTGCCCGTTAATACAGCTCATCTAATCACTTGATTCGACTACAGGGCATAAATATTAAATTATTTTAGGAGGCAGATGGCAACAAAGTGTATTCTGGGACAGCACGAAAGAAAGCCGTCTAGCATTGGCAAGTCATTTCAGTTCGATAAAACAGAGGAATCGGATCAAGTGAGAAAAGCATGGTGACTAGAGCGATGAAGAGACTACCGTTAAATCCGAAGCGAATCACAAGTTGATGATTTCGAAAACCTTGGAGCGGGTCGACTCGAGATAGAGGGAAAGTGCCTCCGGCACGAACTCCAACTGTTGCATCAACCTCTCCGTCTCTGCCAGTAGTTCTGTTAGCGTTGACTTCATGGTCTAAGATAGAGGCGAAGGTGAAAAAAGTATCTGAGGAAAGGAGAGAGGAGATGAACTCACTTCGAGAGGGCCCACACCTTGTTGGTGATATATAATGTGATAATTAAGGAGATCAATGTAGAGCTGCGTCCGCGCATCCATGTCCATACACATGTCAGCTAAGGAGCGCGACTTCTCCAGACACTTAAAGACACCCTGTACACAAAAAAACAATAGCATCTCGACTTTAGCCATAAGACGAATACATCGAAGTGGAAATCATAAATGACAATTCTGAGTATTACTTCAAAATACCAACTACTTACTAGTCACCTATTCTCGATCTCAACTGGATGATAAGAGCAGATGAAGAAGTGTCCTTAAGGTGGCTGAATGATAACAAATATAACTCCAACTCACTATCAGATGCGCAATGAATTTCTTTCATGGGTCAACGTAGCAAAAAATATTTCTCATTTTTGAAATGGTACCCATCCCAATTTCTGTGTCGCACAGGAGAGAAGGACCAAAGAGCCAATAGAATAAATCATACTTATTTCATGAAGCAGCTCCATAAAAGTGAATAAATATAACTGAAAGCCAAAGATCAAAGTCCCCCTTCTGCAAGCTGATAAAGTCGACTGACAAGCCCGTCAGAGAACTAGGTAGTACCAAACTAAAAAGTCAAACATATATATAGAAGTTCATACTGTAACACCCGGAAAATGACCACCCAAAATCCATTCACTAAAAAGACTGTGAATCCACAACGCATCACCCATATTCGTGATTTGCAATTCCTTTCAATTCCACTTAATCGCACTCAGGAAAGCCACCAAAGAAACTCTGGTAAAAAGTGAAGTGGTGATGGTAAGCAAAATCGGGAACTCGCCTCAAAGTCACTTTCGCTTGCCTTCACCGAAGTCACTTCCCGGGTAGCAGTGGGTGAGGGAAGAAGAAGTTGAGCAGTAAGAGCGACAGCGCGACTCTGGTCTGCACGCAGGAGGAGGAGGTTGAAGGCAGCGCGAGAACATTGGGTCTGTAGCACACCCGCACTCTCCGTATCAAGGCAGCGCCGCGCCCGCCAAAGTGTAGCTACAAGCAACCCAAAAGCCGAAAGCTGTGCCCGCGCATCTGACAACTCCTGTTCAAAGAGTGTAAAGGCCTGAGAAAAGAACTCATAGGCAAAAAGAGGACGCTTCTCAAAGGCCACTGTCTCGATCACAAGAGTGCAGTTGAGAAAGAGACGCAGAGCGACATCGGAGGCATTGCAGGCGATCAACTTGGTCGCCGACTGATGACAAAAAGCTATCACTCGCTCGCATAAACCTGCCACTACTTCCCTTCCTTCCGTCTCGCATACTTCCGACTTTCCTCCTACCGCTCCAATTACCGGCAACAGTCGAATCGCCTGAATAAGACATAAGTCAATCATGTGATTTAGGAAACGCACAAATTGAGACATGCTACTAACCTCAAATACGAGAGTTGGAAAGGTGGCTCTTACGACAACAGGACCACCAGCAGCAAGCCACTTTCGCATCTTCGAGAGAAGAAGAAGCTTTCCCTCAACGTCCTCAAGAGACTTGATCTGACGACCAACCAAGTGGATCGCAGACGCCAGAAGAGAGAGTTCTTCAGCCAAATCCTCCATAGCCGACGATGACGACGACGGGGAAACTGAGGCAGTGGTAGAATCATGGCGTTCAACTAGAACACCGACAACAACTAAAAAGGCATCCAAATCGGATTCAGTAGTGATGCGTTGGTTGTCAGCGACAGCAGCATCACCGCTGGAGATGCGTTCAAGAGCACGTGCAATGAAGAGGCAGGCAAAGCGGCGACGAGCTGAGACGTCTAGAAGGGTACAAAGCCGCAACAACCCTGAGAGATCGAGCAACACCGGAAGACTTCCTAGTGCACCCGCATCGTCCGTGCTGCCGATAGATGGTGAAGGAGGAGAAGTGTTAGAGGAGAATATTGAGAGGGTTGAGCACTCCAGCGATGAGCTCACTGATCGCGGAGGACCTCTGGACCCATAGAGAGGCAGGTAGAGGAGACTGAGAAGTTCTCGTGACAGCACTGAACCGCCCTGAATCCTGTAGAGAGGGGAGTGAACATAAGAAAGCATATGAAGAAGAGAGGTACCTGGAGGAGGGAGTGGAGAGTGTTTCAAGGGCGGTAGCAGCGCTAAGAAGGACTTGATTAACAGTATCAGGGCTGGAATGAAGGCAGATTGCCATTGTTAAAAGAGGCGCAAAAAGGCCAGGCAAGTCCTCCAGAGGCAGCCCAAGACGTGCCTCTGTAGGCGCCGAAGTGTAGAAGTCTGCGCGGCGACGCACCAGGTGACTCAGCTCCGTAGAAAGGGACTGAAAAAGGCCTTCACCACCACTACCATCATCAATACCACTTCGACTCTCTTCAGAGATAAAGCGCAGCAACCTGTGGAGAGAAGAGATCAATTAGTGAGTAGAAATGAGACCTCGTAAACATACCTCTCAACCAGGCTACCAATTATGGGTTTCAGTCGGACCGCAGGCTGTAAGCGTTCACAGGCTTGCAGTAGCTGTGTGAGCGTGACTGCGTGAAACTCGTCCGGGAAGGTCTTCGAAACAAGCAAACAGGTTAAAAAGTGGAAGCAGAGGAGTTTTAGGACCAAATACTGTAAAAAAGGAAATTGTATGATTAAGGCACCTGAACAATTACGTCCATAAGGTACTCCTGAGCGATTACATCACGGCATTGAATGACCTGAGTCAAAATGCTCGGGAGAATGTGCTAAAATACACAAAATCAATAACAATGGGGCTCCACATAGCTGATAATGAATGAAAGTGGAGGGACTAACAGATCTGTAGAGATCAGTGTTGATAGATTCCAATCTAGAAAGACGGTGTAGGTTGGCCCCAACAAGAACTCGGAGGTCACGGCGCTCCTGTTCGCGTCGCTCGCGGTCACGTGTGTGACCCTGATGCTGCATGCGCACCCAGAGTTTGTTCATCTCTGCGAAGTTAAGCAAAATAAAATTGATGCTGTCTAGCACGCTCGCTCCCTCCGCCTCCGTTGGTGTTGTGATTGTATTGCATGTGTCCACCTCGGTTTTTTCCCCGGGCTGAGAGAAAGGAAGCGGAGACCAACCACCACCATCAACACTACTTTTAAGGAATACCTATTGAAGAGGCTAGCAACTTACAGGAGAATCAGGAAGGAGATTAGGAGGAATAGAGGTGAGAAGATAGTTGCGAAGGAATAGACCTCGAAGGGGATGCTGAACTCCCCTGCACATCTCCACCAAATCCCGCAAAATCTCGCGACAGGGCAACTCGCCCACTCGGATATAGACTACACCCACAGTTATCAAGAGATATCTAGGGACAGAAAACCAGCAAATATTTTTAGGTGTCTAACAAGTGAAGGTGACAAATGGAGTCAAAAAAGCGCAACCCACTATACATTCGTACGTAGGCTTAATTGCAAAAGAAACAATGCAGCAGTTAACAGAAAGAATTCATCAAAGGCGGAATCGAATGCCTTAGCACCCAAAATAAAAGAACACCCTTGGTAAATTGTGTGCAACATTTTTGCACAGGGAGGGAGAATGGGGTTCCAGAACTCAATTCTTACCAATGAGCACCAAAATTGCCTGCGCTTAGGTCACAAATTCAAAGGAACACAAACTTTATGCCAAGACGAAAAAAGAACACAAATTTTGAGTTAAAGTCACACGAATTTCGATTATTCAGGGTTAAATCCTAATGGATACTGCTAAGCCATACTGTCACTCAAAAACTAACAGTCAAGACATAGGAAGAACGCAAGGAGATAGACAGAAAATGACTTCTTGGAAGCAAATATTTAACTCCAAAAATGCTCACAGAAGTGATTCAAAAAAACCTGTGAACCTGTCATCGTATCCCAAGCTAGGTAGTGGATCATTTCAACTGCCCAAACCCTTGTAAGGTATTCAAGAAGTTAGAGGGTCGATACCCGACGAAAACACTTAGAAACATACGAAATCGCAGAAAGTAGGCATAATAATTCTTACAGGCGCGGTAAAACGTTAGAGACATATTGAGCAATTTCGTAAAGGTGTGGGATGGATCTCCCTTGTTGGAACTCATCGGTGAGATAAACGTCAACGATATTGAGGACTTCCGTCGCCTTAATATCTACCATCAATTATTCATGGCAAAACAGAGCTTACAGAGTTCATAATAAGACTTCGGCGAGAGGCCAGAAGTTCGTAACCCACGAAGAGCATTGGCACAACAGTGCAAGCCATCCATATTTGCTCCCTCATCCTAATATTCCAAAATAGAACATGATATGCTTACGAAATACATTTTAACAGCTTGCTTCTGTTGCTCGATGACTGCCATCATCCTATCCAGTAGTTTTTCCCCCTCACCAGCCAGCATAGCTGGTGCTCAGCTTCGATTGGGGCAGAAGACTACGTTAAAAAGAGCGCCGCGATAGTAGATTAAAGCATTAAAGTTTATATGATTTTGGATAATAAACCTGTCCATACGCATATTCAGGAATGTTGCTGATACACTTATCTGCAACCTTTAAATTCTAAATTGCTGTCTGCATACTTCTTTAATTTTAGAAGACAAAAGTAATGAGGTTTGCTACGTGCACTAAGCTGCCAGCAAACATAGAGAGAAAGGTTTACATTTTGATGGCGACAAACACACTCTGTTTTCACTTTTTACACTTGATTGCTTTTGATGCTTTAGAAAATATGTTGATACCTGTGATGCTTTGTTTATGTGACTACCTGACGTTTGGCTGACCTTCGGGTCACGCCCAAGGTCCATTTCTCCTGTTGCCTTCGTAGTACACGTGTTCAACCTCACTTATGCGTTCTACTACCCTATGGGAAGCCTCGGGACGCTACGCTCGTAACAGCGGAAAGCGAACTTGGTGTTTCTTTAACGGCTTTTAGGTATAAAGTGCTCTTGAAGAACTTTGCTGCAGCCGAGGTGGGACCTCTCTTCGGCTTGTTCTTCGTTGGTCGTTTGCTCAAAGCGATATAACGTCCGGGAAAATCCATTGCCCAACAGACACTGATGCCTTACTGACATTCATTGACTGATTTTTGAAAAAAAAACAGTACGAACAAACCGATGAGCACTGGTTCAATACATACAATTACTCCGAAATAGGGTTCCTTTGGCCAGAAAGTCAAAACCTCTCTTTTCACGACTAGAAGGATATACTCCAACCAGCAGACAAGGCTGCAAAGGAATTCTATCCTTTAGTGAGGAAATCCAAGATTAGTAAGCGTATTTTGGCGTTGTACGTCGGCAACCATGAACTGTACATGCGTAAAAGGAAGTCTGACTACCGAAGTGCAGTAGATGAAGATACAGGCGAAAAGGGATCTGAATTGAAGGAGGCACATTTACCTTGTTGACGGAGAATCTCTGAATCCATCACAAAGAAAGGGTTTAGACGGACGTCTAGATTTGGTTTCACCTTATTTCCTGTTCCACAGACAAGTTATTAACAAATGAAGCGACACCGCTGTGAACTATCTGGAAAAGCTTCGTGTCGGAATTTCCTACAAAATCCGTGTTTATGTGTTGGAAATGACACCACGGTTCTCCCGTTTTCCCTGAAACATGTTTTAGACCAGAATTACACCGTCTACTCCTGGAAGCAATTGATGGTAAACAGGTGTATGCGGCACCGAATCTGGTCGTCAGACCAAACGTAATTGCAGATGCATTCGAAGGTGCCGAGAATACTAGGTACGGTTCCTCAGTCTCGTGTTGTCTGTGGGCTGGCGCGGGAGATGTACCAAGGAGAAGCGCCGAGGACGTCGCTCAAGAGAAGAGAGAAGTAGTGTAATGCATTGTTTATGTGACTACCGGGCGTCTGGCGATCACTTTAAAGTTGTCTGGCCTCTGTACACGTGGGCCACGCTCAGGTCCCATTTGCCCTGTCGTCTTCCGAATACATGTATCCACCTTCACTTATGCCTTCTACTACTCTATAGGAAGCCTCGGGACGCTAAAAATCCCATCAAACGATAGCTAATCTGCAACAATAATTTTTTTTGGATTTCCAGCTGTTCATTTGAAGTCAACATTTTTCCCATAAGTAAGTGATTTATGTGAATTCTTGTTAGATGTTGCTTGCATATGAGCGTTGTAAATATGGGTGTTTCTATGTATTATGGAATGCCGCAACCGCGAAGAAAAAGACTAACCGATGCGAATACTCAGCTCAAGAGTTGTTCAGTCGTGTTCAAATCGCATTTCCAATGTTCTGAATCTAGTGTGGGTGCGTTCGATTCCCACTCTAAGCACAATATGACATCCCACTTACGAAGTCTTTGAAGACTTCTCCACTGGGGAAGGCTAGAGAACCGGTAGAAATAGCTGAGTTAGCTCAACACCGAGGTGTACATAAGCTAAAAGATTATTATTTTTTTTCGAACATCTCTTTCACTTTTCAAAACATGGTATCATTTGAGAAGTCAGAAATGGGAATTTTGAACAATGCATAGGCGTATGGGTCCTGTTCGAACGATGTCGACATTACTAAGCTTCCCGTTGCTACGGAACCTCTTTTACGTTGCGCATAAACCTCCAACATGACTTTTACGACTTAGCTTTTGCTGATGATCTAAAATGCACAAGTGGATTACTACGCATTTTTCAACGTACTTTCGTAAAAACGCTAGAACATATGCAAGTTTGGGTGAAGTATGGCCTTTCTGTTTTGCATCGGCACAACTTTTAGGTCGCATCAGTTGGCACCAACATCATGCCTACCAACTTTTCATACACTGCATGTT